TTCCTTAACAGTTGTCTACGCAAATACTTCTGATCTGTTTGTAAGACACCATCAGCAGCGACCTACTATGGGAGAGAACAAACCAGATTCCAGTGGAGGAGGAAATCAGGAAGAGGCGGTAGAAGTGGATAGGACATACACTGCGGAAAGCACCTAACTGCTTCACAAGAAAAGCCCTTACATGGAACCCTCAAAGTAAAAGGAAAAGACGAAGGTCAAAGAACACACTGCCGAGAAATGGAGAAAGATATGAGAAGAATGAACACAAATTGGACAGAACTGGAAAGGGAAGCCTAGGACAGAGTAGGTTGGAGAATACTGGTCGGCGGTTTATGCTCCATTGGGGGTAACAGGAGTAAGTAAGTAAGTATCCAAAATACGTCGAATCCGTTGACCACATACCGTCGGCAATTACCTACTGTGGTAGGGGACAAACTGAATGCCAGATGAGGAAGAAATTAGGAAAAAGCACTGGGAGTACATAGGATACGTATCCTAGAAACCATCAGACTGCATCACAACGCAAGCCTTAGCATTTAATCCTCAATTCGAAAGGGAAAGAGGAAGATCAGATAGAATCGGTCGTTCCGAGATCTGAAGTCAGACATTAAACGAATAAATATCACTTGGGAACACCTGGAAGGGAGAGCCAAAAACAGATTTGATTAGAGAATCATGGTTAGTGAAGCGGTAACAGGCACAAATCATTCAACATTGACACTATTTACAATAATTTGTCTTCAAAAAAAACTTCAATCACCTTATCAGCGTTTCATTATTCAATTTACCAAATTCATTACAATTCTCTTTCAACTGTTCTAAACGTTCTTGACAATCATTGACAAGCATTTCTAATTCATCTTCAGAATTCCATGTTGGTAATGCACTCAATGGATAATATTCTAAATCATTTAATTTTTCCTCCGTAATGATTTCATCTATGGTTATTACGAAAAGACAGGAAGAAATAAAGGAGAAAGAACATGAATAAAACCATTCATAGACTGTTATACTACTGATCATAAGTGTTTTTTCAAAGTGTTGTTTACTCATTAAGAGATATTCAATGGAACTGTGTGTTATGCTTGTCAATTGATATGCTTGAAACTATTACGAGTTCACCTTAGTTGGTAAATGAGAGAGGAGACAAGACATGATAGGCTACTCTAATCCGAGCGTCTCAAGCCCTCACTAAGTAAAAAAGAAGCCTTGATATGGCGTAGAAAGTGCATTCGGCGTGTACCCAGAAAATATGAGGGTTTGTACAGGAGAAACAGAAGGAACATAAAACTTTACAGACAAATGCTTATTTAAACAGTTAAGTTGACCGTGAATGCTAACCAATAGGAAACAACATTCAAAGTATGTGAACTTGATAGTTTAGGACGACCTTAAATATTGACCAATAGAATTAGATTTACAAAATAATTTCTTTATGATATTTGACGAATGAATGCATCTGCGCCATTACAAACGGTTTTAAGCCATGTAATTCAGGGTCTCTAACCATCGATTACTATCATCTCGAGGACCCCAACCTGATAGTCTACACGTACCAACATGGGTTAGTTCATTCATTTGTCAGTGGCTTCATGGATTTCTGCCATAATTTGGTCTGGCCACCCCTCGCTTTCCTCCCACCAATTCCTACATCGCAAAACATAGCTCGACGAGGCAGTCGGTGGTTAGACATACGCAACCCATGTCCCTACCAGTTGAGTAACAACTACTTCACGTGAGCTGATCATGAGACCTTGAGATTCCATTTCAAGCCCTGAAAATCCTCGACTGTCATTGGTTGATGCATTATTTTAGAACGCTATTTTTGTGACTCGCCCAAGAACGTTTCTGTCTTGTATAAATTAACTCGATTTGTGTACTTGAGAACCTTGATTTTCTGGGTGCTTGTCAAGACTTCTTCGTCTACCAAGTGGGACCTTGGGACGCTCGAATCACAATACCCTATCGTGTCACTGGATCATTTATCTTCGCTCTCGTATACCGACTAAGGTGAACTCGTAATAGCTTCAACCACATCAATTGACGAGCATAACACGTACATACGAAATTTTTACGATGTAATTGAATGACTTTGATCTACATATCTTGATAGATTCACATGTGCTACTTTCTGTATGAACTGAATAGAAACGACAAAAGGTGAGTGGCACAGTTCAAATGTGTCAACCAAGAAGCTTTGTATTAATCCATGTTTCTTAATTTTTTGCCAGACAAACTATAAACAGTGCTCAGTTCAAAAATGTGTACGGAACTTTATCCTTGACTCTGAATGATCATGGATATAAGTCATGTTGTGTATAATTTACATAATACTAGGGTGATGATCTTCAAATATTAACTCTGACAAACCGAGTAATCTATGTGTTGATGATAATTATGTCCACATTCTATCCTATAACAAAAGCTGATATCATCTGGTCTCATATTAACATTTCCTCATACTGAACTATTTCTACCTGTATGAGATTAGTTACACTAAAACTATGTCGTTTGTTTCATAAAACAAAATCTTGAACAGTTCCATACTCCTCTGCCTGGAGACCTTTCTAAGCTTACTGCCAGCCCAAAATCTTAGTAAAGGCGAAGGATTGGGCATGAGATTAGTAACTCTGTCCAGTAGAAAATTACCATGTTCAAAAAGTGCGCCAAAATTTAACTTTTAAACAAATTAAGAATCATACACATTATCAGCTTTAATTATTTTGAAAAATAGACGAACGTGAACAAACATTGAAACTGAACAGAACATAAAAATTCAATCTGATTTGGTTGTTTAACTCACGTTAACTGATTATAACCTGTAATATATATGTATATATTTTTTTAAAAAGACCATAATTACAAATTGAATATTGAACTGACTTACATGAGACAGTTTAGTTTGAAAGTTTTTATGATCATGCTGTGATCAGTATAGTATTATTGACAAGGATGTAAGTGATTTTAACAGACTGCATAAAATTATTGTGAATGTTCCGTTTTTCGGAACATATAAACATTAGTACAAAAAAGGCACTGAAAAATATTTATGCAACATACAAATGATTGAATTTTTGAGTGAAATGGGATACTGCTCGACTACCCAAATCAAAAGCGGGATGTATTTAGTGAGACAGTTACCCGCTGAGCCTTTAACCTAGAGGTGTTATCTACAAGATAGTGACGCGACGTTCTGGTTTTATAACTATATTACTTATGAGTAATCACGATCTACTCCTTCTATTTGTATCTTACTGGCTGAATAAATGATTGACAAACTGGCCACGTTATCAACTCCGCCTGGAACCCCTCTGAGGTTACGTACGGCCCCAAGAGTAGGATGAAGGAGGAGGGCTGGGTACGGGGTTAGTGACCCAATCCTGTAAAAAACCAACTTGCTAAAAAAACGATAATCTGAACAAATAATTCAAACCATTTAGACTTTTCTGGGAGTTAAGTTTTCATTTAGAAGATAAAAGCGGAGTTTCTCCGAAAGTCAAGAGGCCGCTGCCCCTTCTGACAACCAGAGAAATCATTAATATAGGTGCACATTATGGGAGACTGGGAGAGTCATTAAAGTTGCTGCAGAAATGATCCTCCAGACCATAGGAAAAGAGAAAGACCAAAGAAAATGTAACACCTTGAATTGCAGCTGGACATGAAAAGAGCGAACAGCAGCTGAATAGAACTGGAAAAGATCTAGGACATAGCAGTTTGAAAAACGCTTGTTAGCTGCCCATGCTTCATTGGAGCAACAGGTGTAAGTAAGCAAGTCATCAAGACAGCCTTCTGACTCAAACAGACTTCAAGTGCGTTCGTCATTCAGGCGTATTCAACCGCTATTCTAGTGATTCTGACACAAGGAGCAACATCACGAAATGCAGTCCTATAATATCAGGTAACTAACTAATAAAAGGTTTATACACCGCTTGTACTTCAGGATTACGCATCCCATGAGCATCAACGCTTTTAATCAAGATGGATTTCTAGTACCCAGTAATCCAGGTTAAGAACGAGACATCGGCTCATCCATTCTATCAAATTCATACACAACACCTGTTCCATGAGCATACATTGAGTAGCAAGCATTTCAGTGACAGTGGCTATATACACGTGGCTGTATGAAAAATATTCGTAGTGAGAGCATTCTAGCACAATAATAATAATAACCAAAGCCGAAAGAACTAGAATCCAGTGATTACGCAATCAGTAAACACTAATCATAAGTAAGCGAAAAAATCAATATATCTGTGTATTAGATTACAGGGGTTGTGAGGATTGTTAAGTTACACACGTTTGAAACCATGAATCGATCAGTGTTAGACCACGATTAGAAACCTGCAAGAAGCACTGGACGGACATTTCGTCCTGGTATGGGACTACTCAGCATTGGGCATCCACGACTCCTGCACTCCGCAGGAATCGAACCAGGACCCTCGGTATTGTGCTTGAACGCCCCAACCGCGCGCTGCTGAGGAGTCCCATACCAAGACTAAACGGTCGTCCAGTGCTTCTTGCAGGTTTCTAATGGTGGGTCTAACATTGATCGATTCATGGTTTCAAAAATGTGTAACTTAACAATCTTCACAACCCTGTAATGCAAATTACCTGTGCTCACTAGTGACTAGCTTCATGAGGAATCTTCTCCGAGTTCTGGGGGAAAGTCGTGATCAGTGAAGTTCAACCCTGTTCGAGTGTAGGCAGTGTCTACCGTGTATGAGGTTGCGCGACTCCGTGAATTTGATCAAGTTGGACATTAACACTGTAGATACCGGCTCAGTGGTCTAACGGTTACGGGGTTCGCGCACAATACCGAAGGTAGTGGGTTCGAATCCTGAGGGGTGCAGGAGTCGTGGATGTGCACTGCTGAGGAGTCCCATACCAGGACGAAACGGCCTTTGAGTGCTTCCAAGTTTCTAATGGCGGTCTAAAATTGATCGATTCACGGTTTCAAAAATATATGTAGATATCAGTGAAACAAACAAACATTTCCGTCTTACTTTCATGTTCATCACCATTGAAATTCAATATTTTATTCATCGATTGGAATAATAATTTGTTTGAATCATTCACACTAGTTGATGATGCATTTATTTCTTGATTAGTAGTATTGAACAATTTTTCACTTGTTAAATTTTGTTCTTGTTCACGAATCAATAGCAAATGCTCATAGGCTTTGATTGGTTCAAGCTTCATTGAGAAAAAAATAAAAGTATGAAGAAACTTTAGTTGTGTTAACTGTTGACATTGGTACTTGAAAGAGATTTAGTTTGTTTTAAAAATTTTGACCAATTACGAAACTAAGTATCTACATATTAGGATTTATGAAAGAAAAAGGTGTCTCTATTCTTGTTGGGGATGTTAGATCACCAGAATTCGCTTGATAAATAATATCTTTATTTTGGATTTATTTGATGGACCGATCAGTTGACCTTGAGATCACATTTCCCACCAGGAAAATCCTTGGCTGTGATTGGTTACTGTGTCATTTTAGTGTGTACGTCTCTATACAGAGTATAAATAAACGCAATTTGAGTGCTTGGATTCATTGTGTGCTGGCTGGGTGTTTGTAGAATACAATTTCTACACTATATCAAGACTTCTTTCTGATTCAATTTGCTCAAGGGATCACAGTAGCCTACCTGGACGCTGGTTCACTGTTTTTTCCTCGTTTATCGACTAAGGTGAACCCGTGATAGTTTAAGCATACCTAGAGACAAGCGTAACAATTCTTCGAGGACTTTAGATGACATTGACTGTTATTAGTGATTCCTAATGTTTATCCAAATTTCTGGTAATTCGTTTGTTATAAAACTAGTTGACTTTGAGTATATAACCGTTGACAACCTAGGAATCATCGGACAGAGGTCTCACTTTCGTGGGAAACGTTAGATCCCTAGAACTCGCTTGATTAATGCCTTAATTTTGGATTTCACGTTTGAGAGCATGGGCTGATCAGTTGACCTTGAGATTTCATTTCCCACCAGGGAAATCCTTGGCTGAGATCGGTTGCTGTGTATTTCAGTGAGACTGTCCCAAGGACGTTTCTATGATGTATAAATAAACGAGATTTATGAGCTTGAATTCATTGTGCTTGCTGGGTGTTTGCAGAATATACTTGCTACGCTGTATCAAGACTTTTGGTTAGCCGTTGGATCAGGGTAGCCTACCTGGACGGTGGTTCATTGTGTCGTTAGCGTTTATCGACTAAGGTGAACCCGTTATAGTTTCAAGCGTACCTAGTGGCGAACCTAACAATTTTAGTGTGAGAATCGTCAATAATGGGTAATCATGACTTAAGCACAGGTCAAATTGAGAAGATTCAGGCTTCACAATGAGGAGCTGGCTATCGAAACCACCAGAACGATATCCAATGGTTTACAATCAAAGGCCAAAGGATCCTGAACAGGCCCCCTGTGTTATACTCGTCAAACGATATGCTTGAACTTAGTCGGAACACGAAAGTAAAGACTGATGATACAGTGACATGATAGGCTACTCTAATCCGAGCGTCCTAAGGCCCCACCAAATAGAGGAAGAAGTCTTGAAATGGCGGAAAAGGTGTATTTTACAAGCAACCAGAAGATATGAGGTTCACAAGTAGACAAATGGAGTTTATTCATACATGATAGCAACATCGATGGGAGAGTCACAAAAATAGCTTACTAAAATAACACATCAACCAATGACAGTCAAGGATTTTCCGAGTGGGAAATGTAATCTTAGGGTCAACTGATCAGCAAATCAGTGAAACGACAAAATTCAAAATTAGGACCTTTATCTAGTGAGTTCTGGAGATCTAACGTCATAAACACCCTGAAGTCGTTGTTGCTGCTGTTTTGGATTGAGCAGTTATAAACGGTGACGAAATAGTACTCCTATTCCCTCCTGATTTTAAATAATTATCTAACAAACGTTTTTTTTCAGTAACATCAAACTACAAATTAACTAGTCTCTACAATTTTTCTGTGGTTATATTCTCTATGTACATCATACTCATTATTTTCAAGTTCTGGATCATTTGTGAGCAACTAAGTGATTAGTTTAGAGGAAAGCTGATGGACTAATTCTAAATGAAGACTAAGGTCAGACTATAGGATTTGAATTGACAGTTAAATCTCTGTACTAGTGAAGTATGGAAAGTTGAACTAATGTAGGTACATACGAAGTTCCATATTGTAAGCGAATGACTAGAGTAAGACAAGGCTGCTAACGTCCTTTATTTCTCTGCTTTCTAACGGCTGACTGGATTACGAAAGCCTCAACATCTTTGAGGAGAAAAGACGAATACAGTGGAGAACTAGGATGCAAAAAGATGACAAATGACCTAGCTCTTCTATCGCATACCAAGTAACAAATGTAGGTGAAGGACGGTCAGTGTAGCAGCATCCTCTGCAGGACTAGGCCTCAACAAACACAAGGGAAAAAGTAAGACCTTCTGTTACGATACAAGCAAATCACACATGTCGAAGAAGCTTTGGCCAATGTGGGTAATTTTACTAATCTGGACAACATCATTGATACATTAGGTGAATATGATGAGGCATTTCTACGACTGAAAAACATTTGTAACTTAAAGCAGCTGTCACAATCTTCAATAAAAATATCCAGACTGATCTATTTTATGAAGCGAAAGCATGGAGAACTACAAAAACCATTATTCAAAAGATACAGGTGTATATAAACAGAGGAAAAATACTCTGGATCCGTTGTTCAGACAGCATCAGCAACAACCTACTGTAGTAGAGAAGACAGTAAGATTCCTTTAGAGAATAAGATTAAGCAAACCATTGAAGGTGGATAGAATACATATTGTAGAAATCGTTAGACTGCATCACAAGGTAAGCCCTAACTAATATCAGGTGAGGACATCAACGTCTATAATAAAGCGAATATTACAGAGTTGTTAACCATATGTACAAAACCTTCCCGTGAAATCATCATTTGCAAACTAATCCTTATTTGTTTCAGATTTCAGTGTTCTTTCATTTAGACTGTTCAAACTTCAGTTCACTTTACATTACCTACAAATCGCCTTCTGTTCGCATTATTTCCTTCTCGATCTTTTGCTGTCAGACATTTGATTTCCATTTAATATCATATTATACTACTTATGTGAACATAAGTAGCGTACACCACAGTAGTAGTAACATTGGTAACCATTGTGGGAGAAAAATTTTCTGAAAAAAATTAACTTACTAAATTACGTATATATTCATATAATAATCCCTTTAAATGTATATGATGTAAACGATACATTTTACATAATTCTTTAGCAAGTGTAGTTTTACCAATACACGGTGGACCGAGAATACATAAACGTAATGGCTAAAAGAAATAAAAAAGGGGAAATTAAGATGAGATTTTTTTCGGCATAAATCATCAATCCAATTTCAATATAGTTTGTCGTTTGTGTAATAGTATATATTGAGACCACAAAGCTTGTCCGTCCAGCCTTTGGAGTTACTGTTCATAAGTCTTTCGAGCTTTGTCTATTATTTGCTTATAATCTTGGTTGATTTTATTCGAGTGGGTGTGTGTGTGTGCGCGCGCACGCATCGATTGACTTCGCGATCATATGCTTCTTATTCTCATTCATGCCTGCCAGCGTGAACAACCGCGGGAAATAAGACTCATTCAGATAATGAATCTGTAATTGGTTTTTTATTACACTGCCGTCGAACAAACGAGGTTTTCCTAAGAATGTGAAATACGGGGGAAATTAAAAGGAAGAAGATTTATTTCGTAACATATTGGAGAAGGGACATTGCCGGTGACTAAAATGTGTGAAAACAGAGTGTATACAATTAGCGAGTGAATGGTGTTTTCCCTAAATAAATCAGCTATTCTACATCTTGTCTTAACATCTTCATTCATTAAAATATACTAACATGTATTCTAATGCACATTCAATCAATCAATCAGTCAGCAGCGATGAAGGACTTCGTACATAAGTACATCAATTCAAATTGACATACCACATTAGCAATTCAAATCCCATAGTATAGTAGAAGTAATAAAGGTATTGACAGTAATCGGAGAGATTAGGATTAGAAGAATCTAGTGATTTAAACTTAAAAAGATAAAAATAAACTGATGAGGAATTCAGAAAGTTTAGGATTTGAGAGAACATAAAGAATAAAAATGCACTTGCGCCATTGCAAACGGTTTTGAGCCATGTCATTCAAAGTCTCTAACCATTGAATATTATTTTCGCACAGACCCCAACCAGGTAGTAGTCTACACCTACTGACATGACTTAGCTCACTACTTGTCAATGACTTCATGGATTTGTGCCATGTTTTGGTTTGGCCACCCCTAGCTTTCTTCCAACCTATTCCTACATCGTAAAACCTAATTCGTTAATGTACAGTAATGTGTAGAAGTTTGATAAATAATATCTATTCTCTTTTACCTTTGCAACTGAGTTACAGTATGTACAATAAAATATTATTAATTAAGATATTTGACATAAATCATCAGTTTACCAATGGTAGACTACTATTAGAAACCTGAGAACACTGAATGCCTGTTTCATCCTAGTACTTGACTAATCAGAAGTGCACATCCACGACCTGTGCATGCAGAAATCGATGCCATGACGAGTGTAATTCAACGTTGTCGTGTGTGAGGCGATTATCCACCCAAAGAAAATCGATGAGATTATACTTTATCGTGGATTGATTGAAGAGATTAACAACGTCGGGTACCGCGGTTTAGTGGTATAGAGGTAAAGATTTCGTGTACGAGATCTTAACTCTTAGGTTTGACTCCTCCCTGTGAGGTCGTCGGTTCACACTGCTTTGAAGTCCTATACTAGAACGAAATGACCGTTCAATAACCCCCAAGTTTATATTGTTTCTCCATTATTGATCGATTCATGGTTTCAATGAAACCTAGCAATCTTCACAACTCTATAATAATAATATTAAAGACTCAGTATTATATGTCTGAATGAATATTGAAATTCCAGATCCAGTTTAAAATAAGGAGTAAATGCAATTGAGCCATAGTAAACTATCTTGAGTTTTCCCCAATTAAAGTCTTCAATAACTAAGCGTATTGATCAAAATATTGTTAACGAAATAATGAGCCAATCAAGTGACAAATGAATAAACCATTTGTTGACTATTAGAAAGTCGCATGAAGGACGAATGCATATCATTGGCCAAGAAATGAATTCATTTCTGATATGTTCGTCACTAGGTACGCTTGAAGCTATTACGAGTTCACCTTAGTCGATAAACGCGAACGAGACAATTACCAGCGTCTAGATAGGCTACCTTGAATCCCAAGCTGAAGACAGAAGGCTTTGTAAGCGTAGGAAGTATATTCTACAAACAACCAGTAATCACAATACAATCAAGCATAAAACTCTCGTTTATTTATACATCATAGAAACGTCCTTGGGACAGTTAAGAAAATAGCACACTAAAATACACAGCAGCCAATCACAGCCATGAACTTTCCTGTTAGAAAATGAAATCTCAAGGTCAACTGACCAGCCCATGCTCGCAACCGTGAAATCTAAAATAAGGCATTTATCAAGCTAGTTTTGGGGATCTAACATCCCCAACAATTTCCTGAGACTATCTCTGTGAGTCGATAATCCCAACTCATAACAATGGCTCAACTTCTAATATGTACGCTTACTTTTCCGTAAAAATATAAATACAATAACTATTAGACATGTTGTATGACTAAAATAGTAAAAAATTGGAAAATTATTTCTGTTTAAACTAATTTCTGTATGAGATATCTACCTTTAATTTGTGTTCTTCAATAAATTCATTGATAATTTGCTGAATATTATTTGCTATGCCTGAATCAGAAATCCATGGAAATTGCATGTCTTCTTTAATTGTACTCGGTTCAATACGAAGATTCATGGTTAGGATATCGGTTATTTGTGTCTTTAGAGATGGTGTAAAAGAAAAAACAAGGCAAGCGGAAAGAATTAGAGATAAAAGAAAAAGATTGGCACTGGTTGTTACGCATGAACTTAAACATGTTAATTTTGATATGCTTGAATTATTACGAGTTACTCTTAGTCGGAAAACGAGAGAGAAGATCGAGGGTCCGGTGACACGACAGGCTACCCTAATCTGAGTGTCCCGAACCCCACTGAGTGAAAGAAGAAGACTTGATATGAAGTAGAACGTGTATTCTACAAGCATCCAGAAAGTACGAGGTCCGAGTCCAGAAGAAAATCGAGATCCCGGACTAGGGATCCGGGACAGGGTCCAAAAAAGTAACAGATAATGCGTATTTATACATTTTGGTCGAACAGGAAACAGCATCGAAGTCTGTGACATTGACAGTGAAGACGACCAATAGGAAGCAACATTTGAAGTGACATTGATAGTCAGGACAACCAATAAGAAACAATACTGGAGTTCATGACATTGATAACTAGGACGACCATAAAAATGACCAGTAGGAATTAACCAATAGGATTTGACCAATAATTCTCTTAGGATATTAGATGAATATCCTAACAGTGGTGTTCTAAAAAAACTAACCTGAAAAGTTAGTCACAGTTATTCAATAAGTTGAATTTCATATTCTTATGGTTAATATTCATATGTGAACAGAGAAGTCTCTTTGAGGAAATGAATCATTTGATCGACTAATTATTCGTTGGTTAAATAGTTAGCCAATCAGAAGTGGCCAAATGAGAAGGCCATTTGATGATGACCTTCAGAAAGTGGTCCAATAGATGAGTATATTTTATTGGTCAAGAAATGGTTTCATTTTCCTGGGGGGATGGAGTATATATGTATCTGAGTATTTGTACATATTATTCAGCAGCAGATAGCCAGTTTGAGGAGCTTTCATCTATCACGTTTAGATTTGTAACACTGTACAACGTGAAAGTTTATATTTTGGATGATAGTTGACAGTGAAATCTAAAGTATGTATTTTATTTTTGTAAGATAGGAAAAGTAGGAATAACTACCTCCTAGCAGCGACTACTCCATTGAAATCCTCTCCACGTGTTAGGATATTCATCCAATATCCTAAGAGAATTATTGGACAATTCCTATTGGTTAATACCTACTGGTCAACTTTATGGTCGTCCTAGATATCAATGTCACGTGCTCTAATGTCGTTTCTTATCAATGTCACTTCAAACGTTGCTTCCCATTGGTCGTCTTAACTGTCAATGTCACAGACTTCGATGTTGTTTTCTATTCGAATAAAATATATAAATACGCATTATCTGTAACGTTTTATGACCAGGACCCTGTCCCGGATCCCTAGTCCGGTATCCTGATTATCTTCTGGACTCGGACCTCGTACTTTCTGGATGCTTGTAGAATACAGATTCTACTTCATATCATGTTTCCTTATTTTCACTAAATATGGGGGTTGGGACAATCGGATTAGAGTAGCATGTCGTGTCACTGGATCCTCGATCCTCGCTCTCATTTTCCGACTTAAGGTGACTCGTAATAGTTCAAGTATATCAAGTTGACGTGTTTACGTGCAGGCGTAACACCATTCTTCTCATTATTATGAATATCAGCCTCACATTCACTAAGCTAGTGAGTCACTACCCAAGATCATCGGTTACAGCGGCTAACATCTAACCACTGAAACTGATAAGTCAATGACCGATGGCACAATTTCAGAGTCGAGTAGATCGTAAATTGTGATTTATACAGATTTACTGGTCGAAATCTAAAGGCAAAATAAATAACGAACAGTTGTTCTAAAGGAATATCTGACTTGTTTTAAAATAAATAAATTGAAAAAGGCGAGACAATAATTCATGGATGACTTTTGAACGGACCTCATGTGACATTGATAAATTTCAGCCAATCAGAAAACACCCCACGGAGGTCAAGAAGCCTCTACTTACACGGTCTCCTCTCATACACCTTCCTCTACTCCTTTTTGTTTTCTAACAAATGACTCATTGATTTCTACAATTTATGCAACTTCTCCGAATGACTAATTCAACTCTATCACCTTTATTGAGCATATATCTCTGTTGTATTCTTACTACTGAACTACTGAAGCTTCAGTTATACCCGCAAAGGTTGAA